TCCTTCTACCAACATACAAGTTCAACAAGGCTTTTCTTCTACAGAGTCTGCATAGCTGAACTACAGAACACTGCCATCTTGTGTTCACTTAACATCTTGCAACCAGTATTAATGTAGGGTGTTGCATATACTGTATATTAATGGTGTATATATATATGTATGTATATATATGTATGTATATCCAAGGCTAATAAAGGGCAGCTAGCATATTAGAATATAAACAGCTGCCCTGGGTTGATCTCATAAGATAATCCTAAAATCCTACAAGGAGCAATGCCAAGCCATTAAGCAGTGTCGATATTTGCAGCATTCCGGACCCTTCTACTTCTAAAGGAGAAAGACAGCACATGACTGCACATGACCTGACTGAACAAGAAGAATATATATGTATATAATGTTTTTTTAAGGGTGAAGGGCATTTAACAAGCAGTTTTCCAGGCCTTAATTGTTTGACATGCTTTGCAAATTTGCATTGAAGGGAAACTATTGGGTATTTTCAGTATATATACCTTTTCAGTTAATAATTACCTGAATGTAGCATTCCTAAACTGTTGCCTGCCAATAAATATTTTGATCATTGAATTTAATTTGTAGACTTATAAATATTAGCACTTTATATAGGAATATAAGTTTGAAAATCTCTGTGAGCAAGAACAAAAGACTATATTGGTTAGAAATGCTCCTTACCAGCCCTAGTTTTGCCCTAAATGGCCTAGTAAACAGGATGAGCCCAATGGTCACCCATTGGTTTGGCTGGTTCACTGGAGGCAGTAGCTATGAGTGTAAAGTCTTTGACGGGAATTGCAAGGCTTCTGATCTTAAACCTAGCCCTGAATTAGGCTGGCCATACACTATACATTCTGTCCAATTTCTACCCAATTTCCTTTAGATTTACCTTCAACTATGTAGTGCAAGGGCCTGCTTAATTGGATACAATTGAAAGTATTGTTTAGGTTTGATCTCATATTATATGGTTTTTGGTAAATCTAAAATCTAAAACAAAAATCCCAAGAAAATTGTATAATGTATGGCCAGCCTTAACAGCGATATTTATTTTGGAACTGAGAGGAAATAACAAAAGATTTGCTTATAACTACAGTAAAAAAATAGACAAATATCTACATTTGCAGTTTCATCCATCCAGCAATACAACATTTTATACTGTTACAGTAAATGTATCATCATTACAAAAATGAGAATAAACAGCAGAAAGTTGGTGCCAGCGATTTTTGTGCTGCACCATTTCTCTTGGATTTGTCATAAATATACATATTTGTTTCCTCTTTAGTGAGGGAGAAAACCATAAAAACAATGCCATGTTCAGTTATTGCAGCAGCAAGTGACAAGAATATGTTCATTTAGATGAAATTTGCAATTCACTTTACCTCCCAATGTATTGTTTAAACTGCAAGTGATTTCGAATATCATAAAGCCTTTATTGTCTTACCTGGCAGGTTTTTATTAAAACTGTGAACTTATGAGATTGTAGGTAAACACCTGGGATATGTAAAATTTCAGGATAAAAACAGTCAGACTGAAAATAGAGAAAACAAATGTTTTAAACCTATGTGGGAATATTAAAGAGATGTGCATAATACATGCTGGCCTATTGGTATGTAAAGTAACACATGAAAACACCAGACAATGTTGGTCTACAGAAAGAGACTGTGTGTTGGCAGCCTGGTAAGTATAAGCTATAGTTTTGTGAAAATGGGCACATAGTCCATTTCCATGGTAGATAGCGACATGAGCTGTGTAGTAAGTCTTCGACAAGCTAGGTTCTTTTTTTTTTTTAATCTGTTGAAATGCTACCTAGGTTGTTTGATGCTGGAAATACTTACTATGGATATGTTATGCTGGAAATTCATTGAAGTTGGCTGGAGCCAGTTTGAAAAAAACATAATTGTGCTTTCCAGAAAGAATTGGAAGGCTGATATCATTGCAGTAGGTAGCATTTCCTATTTATTTAGTTTACTATGCTCTGGACTAAATAACAAAATTTAAAATTTTTAGCAAATATAAAATATTATGTTTGAATTTTTTTTATTCAAGCCAAGTTGTGTAGCTTTAGGCTCCTTTTTATGTTTACTGTGTTTGTTTTAATTACTGAAAAAAGCCTGTTAACAGAGCTGAAAAAATAAAAGGAGAGATTTACTTTCCTCCCTTTGTACAGGGTGCAGCAACACAACTGCCTTTTTTGAAATGCGTGCCATTCAGGCTGTAGCAGCCATAGCGAGGCGGGAGTGGTGTCAGGCGACAGGCATAGTTCTAAAGTTTTTGTTCTCTTCCAGGTCAGTCATCATCATGCGTTGGAACAGTGAGCAGCGTGCGTTTGCCGTAGAGGCCTACTTTTCGAACTGATTTTCTGTGATCGCAACCCAACATGCCTTCCGACATCGCTTCAATGTAGCCCCGTTGGGCCGTGTCCCGGATCGGAAATCAATTGTTACGTGGGTCACTATGTTCAGACAAACCGCGAGTACGACAAGACGAAGAGCTGGAGTCCCTCGACCCATCAGATCACCTGAGAACATCGAAGCAGTGAGAGCTTCAATCTTGCGATCCCCGCAGCGTTCTGCGCGCAAACATGCATCTGCCCTTGGACTTTTGGATTGTTCAGTGAGGCGAATTCTTCATGATGACCTTCATTACCATCCGTACAAGTTGGCGATTGTGCATGAACTCTCCGAACGCGACTTCAATTCTCGGAGGAACGCATTTGAGGCAGTACTCGAAAACGTCCCTGAGAACGCAATTGTTTTTTACAGTGATGAAGCCCATTTTCACTTGACTGGATGCGTCAACAAACAGAACATGCGCTACTGGGCCGACACCAATCCTCGAGAATTGCATCAAAGGCCTTTGCATTTATCTAAAGTCACAGTGTGGTGTGCAATTGCCTCAGCTGGGATTATTGGTCCCTGGTTCTTTGAAGAAAATGAGGTCACAGTGACAGTGAATTCAGACCGGTATGTGAACATGTTGGAGGAATTTGTTTTTCCATGACTTGATGAATTGGACTTAGGAGACATTTGGTTCCAACAGGACAGAGCAACGGCTCACACTTCAAGAGCACTATGTATGGCCCTGGTTGATTCAGTCACATAGATAGCGACAAATGGAAAAGCTGATGCTGTGCTCTCTCTTTACAATTTTACAAAGGCTCTGCAAAGTGAGTGTTGTTGGTATACCCCTTAATAAAATTGCATTGAATACAAATGATATTATATTATAATATTATTAACCACCTACCAACCGGCTGCCCGCAATGTACTGTGGACGGGTAGCCGCTGTAGGCAAAGCGACTTACCTGTACATCACTGCCTACTTCAGGATTTCAGGGCATGTATATGCGTGCCCCCCGACCACCCACTGTGATTGTACAACCTGTCAGCAAGTCCCAGCCAATGATTCACGTTCTGCTGAATGGATGTGTACAATCACAACACAGAGCCCTGAACAGAGGGAACAATCTCTGTGTTTCTCATCCCTGCAATACCGAGGAGATAAGCATAGAGATCTTTTAGTAAAAGCAGCTCACTATACATACATTGCACATAGTTAGGCAAACATTTAACCCCTTGATTGTCATAGATGTAAACCCCTTCCCAGCCAGTGTCAGTAGTACAGTAACAGTGTATAATATTACTACTGATCACTGCATTAATGTCACTGGTGATGTCAGTGGCAGTTAGTCAGCCCGCCCCCAGTGTCAGTTAGTGCCAGATTTCCCACCACACTATCGCAATCCCATTATAAGCCGCTGATTGCCACCATTAGTAGCAAAAAAAAAATTAAAGAAATTCCAAAGTTTGTAGGTACTATAACTTTCATGCAAACCAATCAATATACACTTATTGGAATTTTGTTTTATCAAAGGCATGTAGCAGAATACAATTTGGCCAAAATTTATGTAGAAATTTGATTTTTACATTTTTTTATCGGATATGTTTTATAGCAAAAACTTAAAAAATATAGCTTTTTTAAAAAAATTCCACATCAAAATATTGTCTTTTTTCTCTTATATCACAAAAAAATTAAAAAAAGAGCGGTGATCAAATACCACAAAGGAAAACTCTATGATACAAATTTTGTTTGGGTACAGCATTGCATAACCTTGCAATTACAAGACAAAGTAGCAGTATGCAGTATAGCAAAAAAATGGCCTGGTCCTGAAGGGGGTAAAATCTTCCGGAGCGGCTAAATACATATTATATTATTATTGCATACATATGTTATATTAATTATAGGATAGATACAAAATGAAACATTTCAAAACTGATCCATATGAAGTTATAATTTCATGTTAGGTTCCATTATTTATCACATTGTTAATACTATTCATACAGTTCAGGCTGAAAGAAAGTTGTCATTGGTTTGCCATAGTTATCCTGTCTGTTCAGATGGTCCCCATTGGTAGTACACAAATTCAGGGTAGCAGTGGAATGTGCCTAAAACAGAAAAAAGAATCTCTGAGAAATACATTGCTGGGTATATGAACACATAGCAATTGCCAGACAAGAGATACAGTACTATGTAACTCAATGGCAATGATTTAAACATTATCTGAACATATACTTTTTTGTATAGCAGCATAATTTAGTAGAGTGTGTCTTGTCTTGTCATCTCCTGTACTATGTCTGCAGTCTCTGGTCATCTCCTGTAGTATGTCCGCAGTCTCCGGTCATCTCCTGTAGTATGTCTGCAGTCTCTGGTCATCTCCTGTACTGTGTCCGCAGTCTCTGGTCATCCCCTGTACTGTGTCTGCAGTCTCTGGTCATCTCCTATACTATGTCTGCAGTCTTTGGTCATCTTCTGTACTATGTCTGCAGTCTCTGGTCATCTCCTGTACTATGTCTGCAGTCTCTGGTCATCTCCTGTAATATGTCTGCAGTCTCTGGTCATCTCCTGTAGTATGTCCGCAGTCTATGGTCATCTCCTGTACTATGTCCGTAGTCTCTGGTCATCTCCTGTACTGTGTCCGTAGTCTCTGGTCATCTCCTGTACTGTGTCTGGAGTCTCTGGTCATCTCCTGTACTATGTCCGCAGTCTCTGGTCATCTCCTGTACTGTGTCCGCAGTCTCTTGTCATCTCCTGTACTGTGTCCGCAGTCTCTGCTCATCTCCTGTAGTATGTCCGCAGTCTATGGTCATCTCCTGTACTGTGTCTGCAGTCTCTGGTCATCTCCTGTACTATGTCTGCAGTCTCTGGTCATTTTCCTGTACTATGTCTGCAGTCTCTGGTCATTTCCTGTACTATGTCTGCAGTCTCTGGCCATCTCCTGTACTATGTCTGCAGTCTCTGGTCATCTCCTGAAGTATGTCCGCAGTCTCTGGTCATCTCCTGTACTATGTCCGCAGTCTCTGGTCATCTCCTGTAGTACATCCGCAGTCTGTAGTCATCTCTTGTACTATGTCCGCAGTCTCTGGTCATCTCCAGTAGCATGTTCGCAGTCTCTAGTCATCCTCTGTAGTATGTCCGCAGTCTCTGGTCATCTCCTGTACTATGTCCGCAGTCTCTGGTCATCTCCTGTAGTACATCCGCAGTCTCTAGTCATCTCTTGTACTATGTCCGCAATCTCTGGTCATCTCCAGTAGCATGTTCGCAGTCTCTGGTCATCTCCTGTAGTATGTCCGAAGTCTCTGGTCATCTCCTGTACTATGTCCACAGTCTCTGGTCATCTCCTGTAGTACATCCGCAGTCTCTAGTCATCTCTTGTACTATGTCCGCAGTCTCTGGTCATCTCCAGTAGCATGTTCGCAGTCTCTAGTCATCCTCTGTAGTATGTCCGCAGTCCCTGGTCATCTCCTGTACTATGTCTGCAGTTCATTGGTTCAGAATATTTTTTTCTTGTTTTCCTCCCCCTAAAACCCAGGTGCGTCTTATGGTCAGGTGCGTCTCATGGAGCGAAAAAATAGCCCTGCCCTCAATGCTCTACGTTCCCTAACTCACATTCATACACATACTGGGGCTAGTTTACCAGGAGCCAATCAACCTACCAAGTCCTTGGATTGTGGGAGGAAACCCATGCAGGCAAAGGCAGAACATGCAAACTTCATACAGGTGTTGTCAGGGTTGGGATTCAAACTGACAACTCTAGTACTGACAGGCAGAAGTAATAATCACTTATCCACTGTGCTGCCCCAATGATCAGTATACAAGTTTTCTGGCAGGATCAAAGGTATTTTTTGCACTTATTGAAGAGACACAAAATGCCTAAGAAACAAAAAAATGCTAGCACTTAGGGGCTACTACATTGTATCTGTCAGGCATAAATAGAGAAATGAATAAATACTTTTTTCCAGTGTGTGCAAGCCCATCTGCACAATATGTCATAGCTGAATAGATATTAACCAAGGTGCCATAATTTCAGATCCAATAACGGAATGTGGTTTTCCTACTTTGTCCTTATATACACTATGCCATCTGAGATGAGATGGGGATAGTGGTGGTACAGTCCTACAGATTGAGTGTATTAGACATTGGGTTTACATCTTGGCTGATCTCCTCTTTATATATCTTTCTTTTCTGTGTTAACCTTACTGTCTCTGGACAAGTCTGTTAGAGAATTAATCATTTGATTCTGTGAACTCACAAGACTTTGAACCCGTAAATATACAGGAGCTGCAGCTCCTATGTGTCATATAGTTAAAATTTAGAAGCTAGGGGTACAGAGGCTTTGAAATTTCTACAAGATGCTGTGCTGTGTGCAAAGTTGTAAATCTAACCTTAAAGCAAAGAATGTAGACTTGAAATGAAAATGTCCATAGAGAAGTTTTATTTTTTTGTTAAGGAAATGGATTTCTACCCCTACAAGCCATCCACAACTTTTGGTTAGTAAAAATGTTGTTCATTTAAAAAAAAACCTTGATTATTTTTTCCTGTGAAGCTTTTATTTCTTCCTGAGTTTTGATATGCTGTAAGCAAAAAAAAATAAAATCATCTATAAGTGGTTGGTAGAAATGTCTGTGCATACTAATACTTACTTAGATCAATGATATACTATATCAGAAATTAGTGCAATTAAATGTGTACATATGGAAAACTCAGTATCAGAAGATTCAGAAGTATAGGCAGCTGAACTGCAAATTGCAATGGGCAAGTACCAGATATTATTATTAATATTAGTACTTATATAGCAATTTGTGTATATTAATGAAGCCTTTTTCCAAGTCTGTTGGTCAACAAGGCCTCCCTTGACCAATAGGATGGCTCTGGAGTGGATGTAATTAAACTTGGCATTTACAGAAGATGGCTTGTTTCACACAGGCTTCAGCTTGTATAAGAGTAGTCTGAACAGAAAGTGTTAGCAAGGCATTTGCTGAGCTTTTTGAAGCTTTTAACCCCTGGCGGTATGATTATTTCAGATTTTTGGTGCTGAAAGCAGTACCATTGTTTTGCATGGAAATATGTAGTTTTTTTATTTGTAGGCTGTAATATTTAGGAATAACTCACTGAAATCTGTCCGAACAAGAGTCTATTAAACATCCCGGGCATGATAAAATTTGAAACACAAAATCATAAATTATAATTTAATAATTAATCATAAAAAATAATAATAATATAATAATAATAATACATTTAATTCAATAATATAATCAAATTTCTCCACGAATCATTATCACTCAATTCTGCAAGTAGTTCTGATTTACTATCGCTGTTCTCTAGCTGATCTAAACCTGCTTTTGACCTAAAGGGATGCTTTTTGGACGCCATGGACTTTTCTAAGTTTCCAGGCAGAAAGAACAGTCAAAATGCAGACAGGGGACAGGACAAAATGTATGTGAAATGGTTTGAAACAGCAATGTTTTACTATGTAAAATTCGTTTTGAAAAAAATGACATTTTTTAAACATTTTTAAATTTCCAGCCGCCAGTGGCGCCCGTAGGTCCCGACGTCACAGGGAACGGAACACAGAAGCCGGATGCCGGCATCAGCTGGAGGAGATGGCCGGGGACGCTGCAGGGGACACATCGCGGGACCGAAGGACAAGGTAAGCTCTGCAGGGATTCCCTATGCAGCGCCGCATGGTAAGCCCGAGTGTAGCTCAGGGTTACCGCTTTTGGTACAGAAACTTTACCCCGAGCTACACTCGGGAATACCGCTAGGGAGGTTAAAGTACTATTCAGCTCCTATTCAGCTGAACATAGATCTTAATGGGAATGCTGATTGCCACTTTGTAGCACGCTGCTTGCAGGTTTCAGCAGGCTTTCAACAAGCTTCAAGAATTGCTGAAGCCTGCTAGCAGTTTGTTTAAAGTTGCAATCAGCACTTCCTTTAGGATCTGTGTTCAGCATTTAGAAACTGGAGCTGAATGGTACTTTAAAAGCTTCAACAAAGCTTGCTGAAAGCTCTGCAATGTTTTGTCAAAGCTTGCTGTTCATGCTGCTCTTATACGAGCTGAAGCCTAATGGGAGTGCTGATTGCCACTTTGAGCAAGCTGTTAGCATCCTTCAGTAGGCTTTCATCAAGCTTCAAGAAGAACTGGCACCAGCTAGCAGCTTGTTTAAAGTTGCAATTTTCACTCCTTGATAGAGATAATAGGGATCCCATCATATTACAATAGATCAAGCAGGATCCCTATTATCCTGAGAGGATGTCAGCTGATGACTGATAGCTGTACTAGCCTACTGCTGGTACCTTGTGATCAATGTGACCAACATAGCACAGATTACATGATAGTTGTAAACAATGAATGGCTTCCTTTCATGCAAATAATTGCTTACAATCATGTTGCTAGATGTGATTGGTCACAGTGATCACATGGTACAGACAGTGTCAATCACAGCCCATCTGCACCATGTGATTGGCTGTGGCCAATCACAGCTAATCACAATAACTACTAAATTAATCAGTTTCATTCCGTAAAAATGGTTGCTTATACCAATGAAATTCACTGGTATAAGCAATCAATTTGTAAAAAAAAAAATAGAGTAGTACAATGTTACTATGGTAACATTGTATTGGTTTGGTCACAGGAGTAAAATAAAAAAAATCCAAAAAAGAAATAAAAAAAATGTAATAAAAAAATTGTAAAAATGTTTTATATATATATATATATATATATATATATATATATATATAATGTTTTTTTTTTTTTTTTTTACATACTGTCACCAGTCAGTGTCCCTAATCACTGCCCAGTTATATGAAGATGCTGTTCTGCATTGTGAACACTTTTTTTTAATTTCTTCATTTTCTACAAAATTATGACAAAAAATGACAACTTCAAAAACTCGCCATGCCTCTTACCAAATACCTCAGACTGTCTATTTTCCAAAAAGTGGTCATTTAGGGTGGTGATTGTACTGTCCTGGCATTTTTGGGCCTCAAGAAATTAGATAAGCCGTCAGTACATTGGGGTTGATTGATTTTCAGATATATACCAGTTTGTGGACGCTATAACTTTCCTACCAACTAAATAATAAACACTGACCCATGTTATTTTCACCAAAGAAATGTAGCAAAATGCATTTTAGCCTACATTTTTGAAGAAAGGTTATTTATTTGCTAAATTTCATAACAGAAATGAAGAAAAATTTCTTTTTTCCCCAAAATGTTCTGTCCTTTTTCATTTATAACACAAAAAATTAAAAACCCAGTGGTGATTAAATACCACCAAAAAAATCTCTATTTGTGTGAAAAAAATGATTAAAATGTAATATAGTACTGGGTACAGTGTTGCATGACCGTGCAATTGACATTCAAAGTGTGACAGCGCTGAAAGCTGAAAATTGGCTTGGCAAGAAAGGGGTAAAAATGCCCGGTATTGAGGTAGTTAGAAGCTTCAACAAAGCTTGCTGAAAGCTCCACCATGCTTTGTCAAAGCTTGCTGTTCACACTGCTTTTAAGCAAGCTGAAGCCCATATGATGCAGGCCGAACTGTCAAGATTTGTCTAAAATTCTGCAGGTCTCAGATAATTACACCTCAACTGTCCCTTTATTAAACAAGAAATTCCCCATTTTGTTGGTCAACAAGGATGACTTCCATGACTAACAGGAATGTTTTAGAGGTGGGAGTGGATGAGATCAAACTCAACATTTGAAGGAAAAGTTAAGATGTGCATAATAATTTAACAAAAGATCATTAGGTCTATTGATTGTTTTGGCCTACAATTCTCACGAATGGTATTTTACCATGATATCTTCAGCTTGAATTGCCCTGGTTTGTGAAAGGTTAAAGTTAGTGTAGCACTACCCTCATAAGAGCCGCTGGAATTGATTGGGTCCCCCTGAGCCCTGCACAGCCATGCAACTGCATTTTTCACACTTTGCCCACCGGAGTCAGTAAACAGCTTGGTGTTGTGAATTTATTGAGGGGTAAACTTGGATATGGTCTAGGGATATATGGGATTGCCGAGAAACTGTAAAACTTGAGGACAACTCCTTAGTAACTATGTACAAAGATTTGGATTAGCAACAGTCTCTTCTTGAAGAGCACTAAAGGCTCTTAGGTGTACCTCTTCAGACCCCAGATGATTCCTTCTCTTCACCCAGCTGAAGAGGGTATCCCTGAGCAAGGGGGACCAAA